CGGACATTTATTTTCGATTCGGTAATTTTCGCAAAAAATTTCGACATATTTTATTTTTATTATATTATGAGAATGAATCCTACTACTTCTGGTCCTGCGGTTTCTGCACTTGAAGAAAAAAACCTGAATAGCTGTCTCGAATTCAAGTTGATTATGTTTTGTTTAGAAAGACGGTCAAATCCTTTTTTAATATCATCTATTTCTGGCATCACAGTTTGTGTAAGTGTTTCTCAGTTTTTGCCTACCTAGGTAAGTTAGATTTTAGGGTTCTTGTGCAATAGACATTACCCAGGTAAAGAGAGAGGCTGGAGGAAGAGCATATTATTGGCATGTGGGTAAGTTACTTACCCACCTTGTAGGAGGGTATTAGGTACCATATGAGCACAAGGATTATGATCAATTGTTCACTTAACCAGCTTAGCCCCCGCTGAATAACATCAAACGAATGTGGCCTATATGCTTGAACGCATATTATGTGTATTGTTTACATGTCATATCTTATTCTTAATATAGTATATCTTTTATCATAGGGTAAATTACTGGAACCTCCCTTAGAGTTTGGTGATTGCAATCACCTCCCCACAACTTTTTGACATAGTTGCAAGTAGAGCCTCTTTGTTAAAATTGTCTATAGAAAAAAACATTACAAACTTCATGAACAACCACAACAAAGAGAGTTTAATTAAAGTTGTAGTTTTACATTTGAGTGATTGATACGAAAGAAAATTTAAAAATAAATCAATTTAGGAAAAATAAATTGGAAAGACTTAGGGTAGTGATTGATATGAATAAAAAATTTTAAAAAATAAATATTTTGGTCAAAAGTAATATTTTGGAAATTTTTGTGGGTCTTGTTAGAAGATTCTACAATTTACCCTTTAACATATTGGAAGCATTCGTTTTTCGTGAAGTGAAGGGGGAACCAACTTACCCATGTTCGGATTTTAATAATAAGTGGGATCCATAGTAAATTTCATTTTCCTGCGTATCACTCACCTAGGTAAACGATACCCTTCCCTACTCGGGTAAGTTTGGTTGACCGAGCGGAGGGTGAATGGAAATGGGTGAAAATGTCAAAATTACCCCTAAAACATAAGGTTTACTAGTTCGATAGTTTCTCCGCTTCTGCTATTTTCTCCCAAAAATCACTGATGCAATGTTGCCAAAGAGTTTCTATCCGTCGTCTTCAGCGTTCTCGTTTATCCTCTCACTTGCCACTACTGCTCCACATAGTTACACCGCTGCTCCGCCTAGTCACTATCGTTCGTTTATCTAGCTGCCGTTGATTTTCCTTTGGTAAGAATCATTGTTCCTACTCTGTTGCTCCTCTGTCTCCTGCACTCTGTCATCTTGCTGCCATTGATTCTCTCGATTTTTGCCGCTGCTTGATCTAGTCATTGTTGTTGCTCCATTTTGTCATCGTCAATGCTGAAGAGTTTATCCTCATACAATCTATCCTCTTCATCATCCCTCTGTTGCCGGCACCATTGATCCTCCTAGTTGCCGCTGTTGCTCAACGTTTTTTCCTCCATTGAAACAGTAAGAATCGCTATTCCTCTTCCTGCTGATATGTTGTTCCTATATGATGCACACAATACATCTTAATTTTTTTATCCCATTCAAAAATGTTTTTGCTTCTTCTAGCAACTTTTCTCAAGTTTTTGATTATTGTCATTAAACTGGAATTTTTTGGATACAGAATTAAATAGATACAAAACTGTAACTTTTTGGATGTTTGAACTTTTTCTTCAGGTTTTAAAGCTATGGCAGATGGAAGCTTTGGTGCTTTGGGTGACAGTGGTTTTGGTTTTTGGTTGTCAAGTGTTTCAGGCTCTTTTTTGGTTGTTGTTTGTGGACCCTGTTGAGATATTTCAGGCTCTTTTATCTTCACAGTTCAATGATGGTTCAAGGAAGCTGTTTGATCATGGAAGTCTAGTTTTGAAGCCATTTCAGGCTCTTTATTTTGCTATGTTTTGGAGGCACAATTTTTTCGAAGTATACTTTTTCTCTTGTAGTAGATACTTAATATGTGTTTTTTGAAGCCAGGTAGCAAAGGCTCCGGATGGAAATGGAGGAGTTTACTTAGGTATCATCTTTAGGTTATAACAACATCTTAATCCCATGGTTTCCTCCTGTTTGGTGAGTAAATACTGATTCTTTTTTTTATTGAACTTATTAATCATCTCTAAAATATTCAAGATTGTTGGAGGATATGACCATGAGAGGTGTGAGATATTTGGATTGCTATGGAGTTGATAATGCATTGGTAAGACTCTTTCTTCTGTTACTCATTGCTAAGGTTTCCAACTACATGTGGCTCGATAGTAGATGAAGTGGAAGGGGCCCCTACAGATTTGGTATTGCTAGAACTTGCCAAATCCAGTTTTATAATAYGAGGCAGTTGTTTGTTTATAAAGGGTGGTGATTCTCGAGTCTTCATATTTGAACTATCTGTTCTGACCAAATCAGTATCCTGTTGTTACATTGGAGGTGTTCATCCTTGGGGTTAGTATGGGTGATGAGCATTTCAGATACACATTTCTAAATAGCAATTGATTGTGGGCAAATTTAAATAGCTCCTTTTACCAAATAAATAAATAGTCCCATGTTTGATTTTTTTTATTATTTTAATTAAAAAACCACAAAATTTTAAGGGTCTTGGGAAGCAATGTGAAGTAAGTTGACATAGAAAACTGATTTATAAGTATATAGTATAGATAGATACATTTTTGGGAGAATGACTAATCAGCCCAGATCAGAATTTTATAGCCCCAAAGTACAGGGGGAATGCATCCTGACCGTGAATTGATGCCAAATTCACGGGCAAGATGTGGTTTATAGGGGGGAGAGGGCTAGTAGTAGGGGGGGCTGGAATTCAGAATTCTGCATCGTGTGTATGCATACTTTTCCGTACATTTTTTGCTTTGATAAATTTAATACAAARTGCATACCTGATTTAACACTGTACTATAAAATATTAGGATATTAAATAAATAATAAGCCAAAATAATGAATACATACCTCACTTTTTGTTTATATCTTGCATTTTTGCATCTTTTTGTCTTCCAGTTTTATATCAAGGAAATATTAGAAAGTTTTTGAAGGTACAATCCACCAAAAAGGAGAAAATAAATAAGAGTTAAAAAAGTCAACTCATCCACACACTTGAATCCCTAACTATAAGTAGGTACATACTGCAGGATAAATCAAAGAAGGCAACTTGAATACTTGTGTCCTGTCATAGTGAGTCTTCACCACAAATAAGAAATTTCTTAACATCTTTATTTTTTTTCTCTCCAATAATGTTTTTGGTCCTTAATCTTTGATGATCAGCAGGTTGGAGTAGGTTTGGTGGTTTTTCAACAGTTTGGTGGAATCAATGGCATCTATTTTTATGTAAGCCATATTTTTGAGGCTTCAGGTAAACTACCCTACTTAAGAATGTTTTGGTTGAGTACACTACACTAAGAAGAATATATTTCTCACCATTTCTGTCTTTATGATCTCTCAGGGTTTCCTTCCAACATTGGAACCACAATTTATGCTTGCATTCAAGTTTTCAGTTGCCCCACTCAAACTCATGAAACCCAAATATTTTCTTGTCTTGATGTTGATGCAAATGATCCTTTTTGCAGTTCCCTAAAATAGAGTYGAAGATTTGGAAAGAATAGTCAGGCTCAATAATGAATGCATCGGCCTTAATCTTATTTATAATGAGGAGTTTTACAAGAATGAGAATTCCATCAAAGATGGAGTTTTATAGAGATAAGAAACCAAAAGAATACATCACATTAGGATAACAATTATCCTAATCCTTAGGATAAGTGTTATGCTAAGCATAGAGATCTAAACGAACAAGGAGTACACGTGGAGGTGTATCTCCAATATGCCCCCTCAAGCTCCATGCTCATCGAGTACATGGAGCTTGTCTCGTAAGGAATGGAATGTCAGCAATCTAATCGCCGGTGTGCAAGAACTAGGTCTCGTAGGAAGTGGAAGTCAACCTTGACATGCCGAGTGCGAGCATGAAAAACAGGGTTGGCAGTAAGATAGGTAGTGCCTATGTTATCACACCAAATAGTAGGAGCCTCGGAGAGAGTGACACCAAGGTCCCTAAGGAGAGAGGTAATCCAAAGAACTTCGGTGGTTGTGGTGGCACATGCACGGAATTCTGATTCTGTGCTAGAGCGTGCAACTGTAGCTTGTTTGCAGGAACTCCAAGCAATCAAGTTGAGACTTAGATAAATAGCATTGTTGCGGCACTACAAGCATTTTTATGTGGACCGAACGCCACTTAAAATGGCCTTGTAGGCCACTTTTGATAGTAGGAAGGGACACTCACTTCGTGAGCTATTGTTGCGCTTCGCTATGCTCACTTCGCTCCCTCTCCCTATTTGCTCACTCCGCTCGCTTAACTATGTGCGCTACGCTCACCGCGCTCGGGAGCACCCAACCCTCTTGTAGACCACCGATCATCTAGACAATCGACCCAATCAGTGTTAGAATACACACGAAGAGAGAGAGAGAGAGAGAAGAAGGAGAATCTCAAGACAAGTTCAGGCCATGCATGACAATGTGTTTAAGGTAACGCAAGATCCGCTTAACTACCATCCAATGTTCATCTGTTGGAGACTGAAGAAACTGAGATGCTTTGCTAACTGCAAAGGAGATGTCTAGACGAGTGATGGCCACATATTGGACAACACCTACGATGTTTCTATACTTAGTAGGATCATCAAGAGGGTGGCCACTATATTGAGAAAGTTTAGTGTTGACTTCCATAGGAGAAGAGATGGGTTTAGCAGATTCCATATGAGCACGTTGAAGAATATCGGTGATGTATTGTTGCTGACTGAGAAGAATCCCATGAGGGTGCCGAATGAACTCAATATCAAGAAAGAAGTTAGTAGGCCTCAGATCCTTGAGGGAGAAATGGCGAGAGAGCTCCATAATGTAGTAGTTGATGGCATTCTTAGAGTTCTCGACAAGTAGGATGCCGTCCACATATATGAGAAGATAAAGTGTGATGGTTTTTGAGTAGTACACAAACAAGGATGTATCAACCATAGAAGCCCAAAAACCCATCTTGATTAGTTGACAAGTGAGACGAGCGTACCAGACCCGAGGTTCTTGTCGAAGCCCATATAAAGCTTTGTTTAACTTGTAGACATGATCCGGTTTGGAGGGATCTTCGAAGCCCTTGGGTTGTTTGACATATATATCCTCTCGAAGTTCCCCATTAAGAAAGGCATTGTCAAAATCAATGATGAATACACCATTGTTGGGAGACCGCAAGAGAGAGGATGGTATGGATGGTTACTGGTTTCACAACTGGGTTGAAAGTAGCAGTAAAATCAACACCAGGGATTTAAGTAAAACCTTGTGCAACCAAACGGGCCTTGTATCTATCAATGGTGCCATTTGTCTTCCGTTTTACCTTAAAGACCCATTTGGTTCCCACCACATGCATGTGAGAGGAGTATGGTACAAGACTCCAAGTACTGTTATTGACGAGAGCATTGAACTCTTTTGTCATAGCCTCACACCAATGAATAGATCTTACCGCTTTGGAATAACTGGATGGTTTAGCAGTATCATCATGTGATTGAGCTAACAATGATTGTGGTAAGGGGTACTTGGTAGTTGGATGAGAGCAAGGAGGAAGAGAGTGGTCCATAGACCGAGTAACCATAGTGTGTTGGCGAGAAACTACAAAATTTTGAGGTGCTATAGGAATCGTATTATCAATAATATCTTGAAGAGGACATGTTCCATGTGGTCCACCATCGAGGAAGGTGGACCCATCTGGAGAAGCCGATGTGTTGCTAGGATCGTCAGGAGTCATGGAATAAGTAGTAGATTCAATTCGTAGTGAAGAAGAGGGAACCAAGGATGGAGGTGCGCTGGGAGCAGTGCTAGATGAGATGGGAGACTGTAAATAAATCCCGGTTGGCTGAACCCGATCTGATGAAGAAACCATAGGTATTTTGGGAAAATTATGTTCATCAAAGATGACATGACATGAAATATACTCCCTTCCAGTAGCAGGACGCAAACACCAATAACCCTTGTGTTTGTCTCTATAACCGAGGAAAATGCACTACTTCGAGTGATAGTCAAACTTGTGTTGGTTGTATGGTCGAAGCAATGGGTAGCAAGCGCACCCAAAAATTTTAAGAAATTGATAATCCGGAGGAGAACCAAAAAGAAATTCATAGGGAGACTTGTGACGGAGAGCGCTGGTGGGGAGCCGATTAATTAAGTAAACAACTGTAAGAGTGACATCCGCCTAGAAGGAAAAGGGGAGTGATGAGGAGGCCAGTAGAGACAAAGTTGCTTCTGTGACATGGCGATGTTTCCGTTTAGCATTGCCATTCTGTTTATGTGTGTGAGGACAAGCAACCCGGTGAGTGATGCCGATGGAGTCCAAGTAAGTAGAAAGCTTCCGATATTCTCCACCCCAATTAGATTGCAAGTTCTTGATTTTAGTATTAAATGAAACTTCAACATGATGCTTAAAAGACAAAAAAACATCAAAAACATTCGACTTCCTTTGCAAAGGAAACAACCAAGAAAATTTTCTATAAGCATCAATGAAAATTACATAATAACAAAACCCTACATTTGGACAAAATTGGGGCTGATCCCCATACATCTGAAAAAAACCAAATCTAACGGACTAGAAATAACTGTAGACGAAGGGGGGAGAGATAACATATGACTTTTGCTTACTTGACATGACTCACATACTATATTGGTGCTGAAATTAAGTTGACTTCCGTATGGTAACCTGAACTGGGACACAACTTGCCTCACAACATGCATAGTCGGATGCCCAAGCCACTTGTGCCAACCGCTGACAGAAACTTGTTCACTGGCCAAGGCTGAAGGCTTATTTGTACTAGTCATGCTTCCTGGAAATTGATAGAGACCATCTCTAATGGCTCCTTGCAGTAGTATGTTCCCCATATAATCCTTCACAAGAAAATAGTCACCATGAAATTCAAAATATAAATTGTTATCACGAGCAAACTTCAACGGATAACAAGTTTTTAGATAAATCCAATACATGAAAACTATTATTTAAAGCAAATTAATGAGTAGCGTGTTAATAACTAAAGAACCAATATTCTTAATTGCCAAACCTGAACCGTTCCCCCACTTTAACTTGGTTGGTTCCTCCATACTCGGACCGAATCTGCAAATTATCAATATTGGGTGTCATGTGATGCATGGCACCGCTATCTGGATACCAGGTTGGTTCGAAAGATGATTGGGTGGAAGCAATGCTGTTGTTGTAGGCAGATGGTTTTGTCTCTTCATTCTTGTAATTCAGATCATAGTACCAACAACATTTCACAGCACCATGTACCAGTTTTTTGCATAATTGACAAATAATTGAATTTTCGCGTCCTTTGTCTCCATTATTTGTGTGGTTGTCTGAAGAACCATGCCCCTGCCTTTGCTGCATTTATTCCTAGGAGCAGTGTATTGGTTGTTCAGATTTTTATTCTTAAAATTGGCAATCTGGAGTGGGAATAGTTGGCGAAGGACTTAGCGAGGGCATTCCAAACATCGCGAGATGATCGATGTCCTACTACTTGTGCAAACACGTTCCCTGTGAGAGACACAATAATCCAAGATAGCACCAACTGATCTTTCTCAAACCAATATGAATATGTTGGATTGAGGATCATCCAACTGCCTTTAGTCGAATCTTGTATATATTGTGGTGGTGCAACAATTGATCCATCTACATACCCCATCAATTGGTTAGTGTAGAGGATCGACAGAAGTTGGGCCTTCTAGATCAAGTAATTATCATTGTTGAGCTTGATGGGAAGATAGTGTATACCACCCAACTGGGTTGAGTTCGAACCTGATGTGTTGTTGGTGGCCGAGACACTCGTTGAGTGTTGAGATTCAAAGATGAAGCCACTGGAAGCCATGAGAGTTGAAGAAGGCTCTGATACCAATATAGAGTCGAAGATTYATAAAGAATAGTCAGGCTCGATAATGAATGCATCAGCCTTAATCTTATTTATAATGAGGAGTTTTACAACAATGAGAAGATGGAGTTTTACAGAGATAAGCCACCAAAAGTATACATCATGTTAGGATAACAATTATCCTAAGGATAGATATCTAAACGAACAAGGAGTACACGTGGAGGTGTATCTCCAATACCCTATAACTGGATTTGGTGCATTGTTAATCAACCGGGCCGGAAGAAGACCTCTTCTATTTGTAAACCCTTATAGTATGGGGTATAGCTGTTCACGGGTCGGGTTAGGTTGGTTTAGTAGTGTTTTTTTAACTGACCTGACCTGGTTGGGTTACCTATAGACCAAATCGAAACCGACCTGGTCGGTTTGGGTTTCAACCAACTCCAAGCTTGCACAATGCACATGAAGTCAAAGTGCTAATATCATATATAATATTTTAGAATATATTTTCAGGAAATATATATTTAAAACCAAAACATATATACAAATATATCAAAATATATGTTTTCTAATTTCTGGAAATATATATTTCAGAAATATATATCTGATATATTTCATAATATATATTTTTTCAGATATATATTTATTATTTAAAACTAAAATCTTTGAAGGGATGAGAGATCCATCATATGGATGGCTGAACCCTGTAGGAAGGTTGGGTGAAATTACAAAAATTTTTCTCTCTCCCATCTGGGAATTGCATTCTCTGTTTTAGAAAATTGCATTTTCAAGGGTCAATCTTGAACTAAACCGGATCAGATCTGAAACCAAAAGGGAGGAGAGGGATATACCTGATATGGAGTAACAGTAAGTCCCAATGAAGGTGTTCACGCCCAAAGAGAAAACAAAAAACTGCTTCCACTGAACATGACACAGTGAGAGGTGAAGCAAAATCAACAGGATGGCTCTTTAGCAAGAACCGAATTCTTTAGCAAGAATGGGATAGAGGGCTGGTGAGCACGACTTCAAATTGCTTCTTCAACCAAGAAGCAATATCAAGAACAATTCTTGATCACTCCCACAAGTGGAGATCGAACTGGGTAGGGGCGGCAAGAACAGGGAAGAACTCTGCAGACTACTGTAATGTTTGTTGTGTGTTTGCATGTCCGCCTTGCTCTCTTATTTATAGTCTTAAAGAGAGAATCTCCTAATCCCATTAGGAGTTTCCTAATCAAAATATTTTATTTGGATTTGGACTCTCTTTAAGTGATAAGGATAATCTCTTATCTTATCTATAGATAAAGATCAGTCTTCCTAATCAAATTATGAGTTCCTTTGATCCAAATTTTTATTTGGATCTGGACTCTTTAAGTGGATAAGAATAATTCCTTATCTTATCTTCTGATCCAAATCCCAAATCTGCCCCTATTTAATTAATCTTATTAACCCAGTTCGAATTGGGCTTTAGGCCCATTAAGTTTATGTGCTCACTTAACCTCTTAACCTGCTGCCCAGTTGGCTCTCCTTGTATGGCATGGGACTCAAATATTGATCTACACATCAGCCACATGGGTTCAGCCCAGCCTTTGTTACAAGGCCTGGCCGAATTCACTATAGGAGACAGTGAACCCCTGAGCCCATCACCATGGGCTCTTAATTGGCCCAACATTTACACTAAATGGTCATTGGGTCCAACCACCTTATGAAAACCCAATGACTGACTGTGGGCAGATGCAAGATTAGACCATCAAGTATCACCCTCAATGGTCTTACACTTAACCTCTYAGCCCATAATGATCAAACACTGCCCGACAAGAGAGGACCTCTCCCTCGGCTGCAAGGTATAGTGCTGCATTCTCTACTCACATGGATCCTAGGAATTAAAACCATTTGCAAACATTTTGAAACCATAATATATATATGTATATCTTTATATAAATATGTTTTGCAATAACAAATTTCAACGGTTGAAATCAACTGCCAGCAGTTTAGGTTTCCATCAGGGAGAGTGCATCCCCGATCATTCACTTTGTTCGACAAAGGGATTGATCATTTCACTATGATGACTCACTTAGATGAATTCTCGGACTGTCCCAACATACCCAGGTTTTGACCCCCTGTAAGGATCTCATTGATTGGCATATCAATGACAGCCCAATCCGGCACCTAGTGCAGTACTATAATTAAGTCTAGGGGTCAGGTGTAACATTCTAGTTTTGCCCATCTATCTCYAAGGTCTAGGGCAATAGTGGAATTTTGGTTCGGTTCAAGGTTTTAAGAAAACCCACACTGCATATACCTCAGGTCTCACCCTGACAGCTGAGACAAGCCACCCCAACTAACTTGGTGGTACATCAGTGTTAGTCTTGGCAAAATAAATCTCCCTAGATCTATCCAATGGCTGTGAACATTCTAAACTAACACGAGTCTCATAAATGTCCAGTTTAAGGGTATTATATAGAAACACACCACAATGATATGAATCAATTATGTACTTTATTCATTTACAATAAATGTCAAAAGGTGCATCAATCTGATTGGAGCTAAGGGCATAACTGTCTAACAATATCTATATTTAACAAATATTTTTTTAGAATATATATTTTTTTCACATAACTCGGTTCGGTTCAGTTTCGATTTTCACATATGAAAACCAAAACCGAACCGAATTATCGATTTGTTCATTTCTGCAACCCGAAACCGACCGATAGTGAAGAAAAACTGGCCAACTCGGATTGAGTCGAGCTGGGTTGGTCGGTTTAGTCGGTTTGAATTTATTTGTGAACAGCCCTAGTATGGGGATTGTTCAGCTCTAGTAGTCCAATTTAATTTTCTGTACTACTCCTAAACAACTACWTTATATTGATTCAGCCCATGCATGCATGAGTTGCTGAATCTCAGACCTTGAAGAAGTGTTAGAAGTTATGGAATGAAAGCTAATAAGACTCAGCACATGCATATTCATTCTTATATCTATGTCATTTCAAAAACTGTCTTTACCTAACTCCTACGTACCATAACTTCAGGCATGTCTGGGTAGTTTAGATCTAGTTGTTAACAGAATAGGTCCTCAATCCAATTCTGTATGCTGTAGACATCAAGTCATTCCAGAAGGAAATTACAGTTCAAGAACTGATATAGACATCAAGTCATTCCAGAAGGAAATTACAGTTCAAGAACTGATAGATAAATGTAACATCTGCACACAATATACTAGCAAAGTCAACTAGTTTCCTTAGATGAAGTATTTATTGTATGAAAATTTTGTTTGAGTTATGATGTTTTAAGAAACTTGGTATGCTAATACTTTTTGATTGCTGAGAATTAGATAGTGAAAAAGTACTGAAGCCTTAAATTAATGAATGCAATATTAATTCATCTAAACATAGGATGGTATTACGATGTGCTGGTCCTTAGCATTGTTCACTAGACTGGACCCCTTTCATGACAATCYGAAAAGTTAAGCTGGTGATCCTCCTCACGGAAGTCCAAAAGATTACAGGATTTGTAAAGATTAATTTTGTCTAAGCAAAAGCAGGAGTTGAATGCCCAAAAGTTGTGGTTTATTTAGTTAATAGTAACCACAATTAGACTTCAATTAGTAGCCTTCATTGTTTGTAAGTTGACCTGCCAAGTAGATCCGATTTTGATAACTATGAAGAGAATGGACTTGATTTAGTCTCTTAAATTAAATAATAAATTTATATATAAAAAATATCATATAAAATAATCACCTAAGTTTACATCATAAAAAATGGGTGTCAAACAAAAGTTATGAGAGTACATGAATAAAAAAAAAACAAGATAACCAATTTGGCTTTATGCCAAGGATATCAACCATGAAAGTTATATTTTCTTTTGAGATGATTGATAGAAAAGTTCAAAGAGAAGAAGAAAGACCTCTATTTTGTGTTCATTAATCTAGAAAAAATGTATGATAAAATTCCTAAAGAGACAATACGGTGGGTCTTGAGAAAGAAAAGGATTCAAAATAATTAGTATATAAACCTAATTAAGGATATGTATGAAGTGGCAACAACCAATGTTAGAAAATCAATGGGAGATATTTTAGATTTTATAGTTAATATGGGCTTTCAAATAACATTGTTTCAATTGATAAAATTAATGAAGGATGAAATGCAAAATTAAGCTTATAGATAAATGACTTAGAAACAAGAGGCTTCAAAATAAGTAGGACTAAAATAGAGCACATGACATGTAAATTTAGTAATAATAGGGGTGTAAATCAAGATACACTTAAGATTGGAGAACAAGAGATAACTCAATGTGGCCATTTTCCCGTATCTTTATTCAATAATTCATAACAAGGGAGAGATTTAGTAGGATGTCACCCAAAGAATTAGAGAAGGATGGGAAAAACAGAGGGGTGCATTTGGACTTTTATATGATAGGCAAATACCACTTAGGCCATGTTCACTATTCGAAAAGTTACTTACCCASGTAAGTGTTTCTTGGGAAATATTTCAACTAAATACATTTACCCTTGTCCTTTTATTTCCTAGGTAACTTTTAGTCATAAAAAAAAAGCTATTATTGAAAGAGGCAGTGTTGTCCCATCCAAGTATTGGCAACTTTTTCCTAAGTAGGAAAGTTGCTTACCCACCTAGGAGATTGGTATCACTTACCCCCAGAGAAAATAAAATTTTTGTGAATCCCACATAAATCTAAAAAAAAGAACATGTATATCTTAGTCAATGGAAACCAAAATCCCATTGATCAACTTGCCCCCTCTAATCCTAAAAAAGAATGGGCCCTTAGATTAAAAGAAAAATTCTATAAAATAGTTGCAAGGACAACTATGTTGTATGAATGGAGTGTTGGGCAATCAAAAAACATGTCCAGAAAAATTGATGTGGTAAAAATGTGAATGCTAAGATGGATGAATGAAATAAACTAGACAATATATATAGAATTATGGATTAAGTTATCCATAGGAACATAGAAATAGCTCTAATAGGTGATAAAATGAGAGAGAATAGACTAAGATGGTTTGGGCACATGTATAAAAAAACCACTAGCTACACCAGTTAGAACTTAGAAAAAGTGATTTGTTACACATTGAAGGGGCTAGAAGAGCCGTGAATAGACCAAAAAGGGTACAGATAGAAGTAATAAGAAATTATTTAAGTACTAATAATTTAATAATGGATATGATTTTAAATGGAACGAATTAGAAAAACGGGATTCATATAATCGACCTCATATAATTGAGATAAGGCATGGATGATGACAATAATCCCATACTTAACCAATCAAGAATGAACACGAGAGTGATCTATACACCCTATTTCTACAAATCAGTGGCATTCACTTTTGAATGGTTACATAACCCGTTGGATATTGTATATGTCTTTATTTATGGCAGATACCAGGAAATTCTACAGACTACAATATGCAAAAGCTGTTTCTTCCTTCTTTACCAAATCCCATTCGTTCAATTTATCGGGTTGCAAATGACAAAAAAAAAAAAGAAAAAGAAAAGAAAAGAAAAGAAAAAAAAAACACTGAGCCGAGAAAAAGTAAAATTTTCTTCACTAGACAATCAAGTCGGTTTTGAATGGAAATACAATTAATACATACACAGAGGTTGTAGCTGGAAAGTTCTCAATTAGAACTGTGGCACTAACATCTGTAGGGCATCGTCAATGAAGAAATTATATTTATTCCAGAATTAGACGTTAGAGAGACTGATCGGAGAGAAAGAGAGAGATATTAGAGTGGTACAGAATAGTCTAAAACTTGAGCAGAGAATTAGCAGAACGTTTGCTGAATTTCATGTGCAAGCTCCTCCGCACTGAGTTCGCATTCAATTCCGATCTATAAGGAAAGAGGAAGACAAGGTACAGAGCCATCATTAATAAATAATACTGCTTAAAATAAATAGCAGGTGCTTTTTTGCTTCTTAATTCATAGCAAACAATCACCATAATAAATTACTGATACCTTTCTTTCCGTAGAAACTAGAAAGAATAAACCGGTACCTTTAAATAATTGCTAGGGGTGCAAGTAGGGCGGGTTGGGTTGGGTTTATGGTCAACCTAGGCCCGACCTTAAAATTTGGGCTTAAGGCCTGAGTTTGGCCCGAGCCCGAGGTCAAGTCCAATTCTCCCAACTTGAGCCCAGCCCGCCCTGTAATTTGATGCACTCGGGTTGAGTTCGGGTCAGGACCGGGCTCGGGTTGGTCAATAAACCCACTCTAAAATTATACATATATAAATATGTATTTATGCAAATATATATACAAATGTTATATATGCAAATTTGTGTATATATATATATATATATATAATTGGGCCGGGATCGGACCGGGTTTAGGCTACCTAGGGGCTAGACCCAGCCGAGAACCGAAAATCCAAGCCCGATCTATGTAAAATTCTAGGTTGGGCCGGTTTGGGCTCAGGCTGGATCCGCCCAAGTTGCATCCCTAATAATTGAGCCATTTATGGGCAGACCCAAAAGGATTACATAAATGCTTTCAAGGATCTAACAAAAAGGTGGATGAAATATATCCTTGGCTCTTGGTCCCTRATGAAAAATTTCCCAAACTTCCAATAATCTTCCATTGTTTTATAAATATTTTGAAGCATCCAAATATCCTGATTTATATTATTTAATAGGGTTCGACTATGTTATGAAAAAGATATGGTATTTGAAAAATAATTGACAAATAAACCAACATTTAAGTCCATGATTCTTACCATTTTGTCACTTCTCTTGGGGTATGTTTGGTTTAAAGGAAAAATTAGGGAAAGGAAGAGAAAGACAGGAAAACCAATATAAAGATTATAAAGATTTTCTTACCTTTTTCTTCCTTTCCCTATATTTTCCTTTAAACCAAACATAGCCTTAAAGGACAGGGCGGCTGTCTTTATAAAAAAATACGTTGACCGGACAGACTTTATCTTTTTTTCTTTTTTTTTTAATTGATTGGAAGAAAAATGTTTTTTTAGTATTATTGATTTAGGTTCCTGAGTCAATTTAATGCTAAAGTCTAGGAGTGACCCCCTACATTGAAGGTGTATGTTTCCAAGTGAAGCTACAAATCTTTGGATAAGAATCTAAAGCAAGAGGAGGCTGGAGACCAACTGAATTGACCAACCAGTTTTGGAAATATATTTATGATTCCATGTGCAGTGAAAAACAACGGTTTTTATTAGCCTTAATTAAGAAAGTGATTATTGAGTTATTTCATTTATTTAAACTTCGTGTAAATTTTATAAGTGAAGATCACTTGTTTTTCCTTGTTCTAGTACTTAGTATGGATGATCCAAAAGAAAAAACTAAAACAAGGGTCAATTTCATCATGAGCTGTTTTGCAAAACAATTCGTATACTGAGAAAAATAAAAAAAGAAAATGGAACAACTTGTTTAGGTATTTGAGTTGAGCCCCCAAAAAAACATAACATATTTTGGCTTTGTCTGGCTGCATTTAAAACAAAGGGAATATGAACATTTTCCCTGAAAATAGCCACTTTTACAGTAGGAAGTAGGAACTAGCTCTATAGGAAAATAACAAGTCATTTTCAGGAACAAAGGTTGGCCCTCTCCTTGCATATCTTGCAACACAATATAGGGTATTTCTCAAACTCAGACCATTCAGGTCATTTGTTTTAATTAGGTTAGAAGTGGGACTATTTTGGTGGCTTCAAGGAATAATGGAAAAGATAGAAATGAAAACAGAAGCTTCAAAATATATATATTAGTCGGTATATATCTACCTTGATGGTGAAGGAATTAAGCATGGTGTCGTCGATGGTGCTGATGCTCACATGAAGAATTTCGAGTGATAGGCTTTCAAGGGCTGCAACAATCTTCAGTGCTTGACCTGGAATCCGAGGTGATATCGTCTTTAGAAGAACATTTGGGCCAGAAAACTTAACCTCCACATCTGCAATTGCCGATTTTGAGTTTGCGCCTAACTCCTTATTAGGATTATCAAAGGAGGAACAAGTCAAAGTGGAGGAGGATTCGTGTGAAGTAGCAATATTGGTGGGTGATGGTGATGGGTAACCCTGTTGCAGCCTGGGCTGCTTGTAAGGGCTGCCTGGTTGGGGTGTCCTTGGACTTATGGGTAAGCTTACCCTAGGACTTAGAGGTGGTTTCCTCGGGCTTAGTGGGGAGGGTCTTGGACTTGAGACTAGCCTAGGGCTGAGAACTTCACTGTACACCTTCCGTTGCTTCTTTGCCTCCAGTGACTGTAGAACTTGCTGTAACTCTTTGATATAATCCACAACTCCCCCTATTATGGATGCTTGGTCTCCCTAGATTGAAACAGAAATAACAGAGATCGATGTTGCAGACTACCTCATGAATGAAGATTATATGCAAAGACGCAATAATGCATGGTATGTTCATATGTAGCAACAAGTACAAAGAACACCACTAAATTAATTAGCCTCAGTGAAGTTTAGATTAGATCCAAGGAGATGGATTACAGGATAAGAGATTATTTACTCTTTTGACATAGAAGCAAGGCATCAGCGAGCGTAGGACTGATAAGTGCTCGTTCATCTGCTTCCTCCGATTGCGTTCCACCGTTATGTGCGACATCCGTTGCTGCCCATCTTGAGGTGGTTCCTCAGAAGAAGAGGACGCAGCCGAGAGCTTAGGTCTCTTGCGAGCCGGCGACGCTTCAGCTTCAGTCTCAGTATCCTGCTGATGAACACTGGAAGAAGTTACAGACTTCTGAGAAACCAATCTAGCGTCCTCGCAGCTGCTACTGCCATTGCCGCCTTTCGGGCTAACAACAGTTTCCTCAAGCGGCGTTAATGGTGAAATCTCTGAGGCACCTTCTAGGGACTCCAATAGGCTGAAGATCTCATCCGGTGAAGTGTCTCCCATGAAGTTTGCGTCACCCAATTCCGCTTCATCAAAAAGATTGGATATACTATCACACATATTGCACCCGCCCTCTGGAATTAACCTTCACCTCCACAGGCAATCGCTTACTGGATTCAGAGTCTCAGACCCGACGAACACTGAAAGATACATATATAAAAAAAAAAACCCAAAAAGCCATGAAGACGTTAATGGTCGTGAACTCATGATCAAGAAAAAAACAAAGGTAGAAGCGCAGAAGAAGCGAGGCAAGGCAATGTGGTGAAAACGACTGAACATAGACAGATACTATTTTGTGGTGGACTCTTAGATGAACCCTTACTGTTAGATGCAATTGATCTGACGGTTACGATGAGACATGGAAACACAGAATCCCAAAACAAAGAAACAAAAGAAATGAACAACGAACCGTTTGGGCTCCCAGAGAATGGAGAAAACAAAGAAGAGGTGGAAGGTGTATATATATATATATATATATATATATAAGCAATGCGGGAAACTTCGAACTTGGGGGGTAAAAGAAGACCAGAGTCAGGTGGGCCTCGTAGCTTAACTTCGTTAAAAAGCCCACAAAAAAAAGGACCTTGAATTAGCAAGAAAAGATAAAAAAAAAAAAAACCAATAGATTTTGATGTTACTAAATATGAATAGCATTTATTATTCGATGGGTTCACTGCAATGGAATCAAAATCAATACAGGTTAGGATTTATTGTTTGATGGGCATGTCCTGTGTCTAGTACATAACTTGTTAATTATAATTGGTTGATAACTGGTATAGACTTTTTAGCAGTTGGCCCCACTTATTTTGGTCGGGCGAGTCACACAACTCACAACTATCTGGTGCATCATCCTATACGATCAATGAATGGACAACAGCGGACAAAACAACACTATTAATGAAATTTTGAATTTCACATAAATTTTGATGAAGAGCCAGGGATTCATATTTCATATGGCCTTTTGAGTTTTATTAACGCTCTAGTCTAGACCATTAATAAATGAGAAACTGCAAAATAGGGTTGTCTGGGGAAAAAAAGCAAACATATACTGGGTTTGGCTCGTTAATCCATGCGGTCATGGCTTCAGGCTTCAGCACTGTTTCTGTTTCTGTTTCTGTCACATATGAAGTTGATACAATACAGAGACTACAAACTAAGGTGTCACGTAGAGAGAGCCCCGCCGTGGATAGTAGAGAGACTGTTAAACCCAACGTGGAAAGACAAAAACTTGTTCCGTTCATTTTGGTGTTTATGGCGAAAGAGACAAAGGTGTCCCACACGTCAGACTGGCGTGGCGTATCGTGATTCGGTTCCTAATCGAAAAACTGAAATGATCACTGTGGACGACGTCATAGATGGAGATTGGACTAATGGAGAAGCAGAGGCGCTGTTCCACCAATGGGAATGGGTGTTGGGGTGGTAGAAATTAGAATAGAATAATATTTTTGAATGTTTTGAATTTAGGGCAAGGGTGGTAGTCCGGTAGAGTAGAATAATAAATTTGTAAGCCATCAGAAAAAAATAAATAAATAATCATTACACTATTAGGAATCTCGTACTCCTTACGTCAAGACCGTCGGATGGTTCCTTCATCATATCATTGTCTATCATCATCCAATATTGGGGTCGTGTAGTACTGATGCAAATTTGCAATTCCAACGGTCACTTTTGGGATTTGGGTGCAGTTTAGAGTAGTGTAGATTAGACACTAAACGTGTGTGATATTTAACAGTTTTGTTTTGGTAGGTTTGGAGTAGTTGCAAAGTTGCAAGTGGGATAGAGTGATCAGGACCAAACTAAAACACTACATTTGAATTGAAGTGGGGTGGAGGGCATTCAATCTTGATTCTTGAGGAATCCAGTTTATTTACCCAGAAGGCGGGTCATTCATTTGGTGGGTGTCTGTAAGATGTCTGTCCGTCCAGGTAACATTCCGAAGTAGGCTTTCAATAATGCAGGCACGGCATCTCCGTGCCATGATGATCAAAYTTTAAATAAAAAGGTGTTTTGATTCTGAATTCAGGAGGGAGGGAGAGAGAGAGAGGACTGAATAATAATTTGAGCCTCTGCACGGCAGCACAGGAGTGTTGCATCATTTAAGATTGTAAGGGAGGAAACTGCCGGCCAGCCCTGGGATGGGATGGGAAATTCCAAAACTTACCCTCCGAAAATTTGACACCTTTCTGTGGTGCTTTTACTTTCACATTTACCCTACTCAACAACCCAACCCAGTCGCCTCTCTCAAACTCAAACCCATTTATCAGATTTTATGCAGTCATCAGTCAGTCTGCATCTGCCCCTCCCACCACTGATTAGACCTATCTGGGCCGGGCTGGGCTTTCACTTTTGTTAATAGAATTTTTTCAGGTCCGAGCCCAAGCCCTTTTCGACCATCGCGCTTTGCAACTTGGGCCCGAGCCTAAAGTCCGACTTAACTATAATACCTTTACGCTTCAGTCACCTACCGCCACGAAGATACTCTCTCAATCAAAGCTCCAAATTATAAATTTCTCACAAAAAAACAATCAATAGTTCAAGCCTCATGTTGATCGGTTTTATATGAGAAATACTTTTTCTTGGAGATTTTCTCCTGTTGAATAATTTATCTTAGTGAAAATTCTCGATTACTATCTTGTACTTTGGGCTAATGCTATTTTGATTCTTGAACTTTAAAATGCGACAATTCAGTACTTGATGAAGCGCGATCTGACAGCTCCCTACTGGAGGTGATCTGGCTTACAGTAAACGGCGGACTAGGTCGATCTGCAAAAGAAGAATCAGAGAACTCGAGGTTGTTTGCCCGACGAGGTCGCTCCGATGCTTAAGTCGGTATACTTGGTTGGGAGCTGAAAATCTTTAGAGTGTAGAGAGCTAGAGAGCAGAGAAATCACGCGTACCTTGTGCCCTCGAGGTTGGAGCCTTTATATAGTTGAGTCCTCGCGGGTTTTGCGGATCGGTTCCGGGATTTTCATCACGATAGGATCCGTTTCTGCGTTAATTGGGGGATAACGCTACCAACTGATAAAGTCCATCAATTACGCCCGAATCGGGCGAGGGGAAATAACGTTATCTGTTACGTGGCGTGATCCTGTGAGGTCCGGAATCCGTCGGAGTGGTTCTCGGGGTCACCACGTAGTGGCATGTCGGTATCCCCGAGCTAATGTCTTTAAGTCCCAAACTGGATTGAGTGCCAAAGTGCCTTGGCATCGAGGTGTTCTTGTTGCGATCTGGTACCGAGGCAATCTCGTTCCGAGGTCACTTTAGCCCAGGGTAGTTGGGTACCCGAGCTCGATTTGCTGCGGACTTGTCGTGTTAGGCTAAGTTGTCATCTATTAGTCAGGTCGTGTCCACATGTCCCCCTATTACAAGGTCGGGCCAAATCACCCTTCATCAATTGCCCCCCACTCCCCGAGCCAGGGGTCCCGACCCGGTGCGGGGAGTTCATGACGAGTTCAGGTGAATTTGGCATGAGATCTAGGCGGTCTGTCGAGCGGATCAGTTGGTCGGACCTGTTCGAACTTCCAGTTCAACCAGCAATAGCCCAGGTCACGTCAGGTGTACGCGGGGATGTCACGCTGTTTATGGACTCTGCGGACATCAAAAACGTGCTCAACCGATTTCGTCCTCGGGTGTCGTGCAATCAGTTTTCATGAGAACCGTTGGATCAACCAGATCCCAGCTGTTGATCGCCTTGCGGTGAACTATAAATAGGGGGCCGAGGTAACCCTCTTCTTCGCCAAAAATTCTGTGATTGAGCTCTCCCGAGGTCGCGTCGGAGTCTTTCAACTCGCTCTTTCTTTGTATTCCAAGGTCATTCTTCTTTTGGTGAGTTCGCTTTTCCTTAGTTTGTTCTCCTTTGTTTTTCTTGTTTTAATCATGTCTAGTGATAGCATAGATAGGCTCTTAGGTGATTCTAACGAGCTCGAGGGTGTCGAGGTGGAGTCTTCGGCTCCTGTTGGCGAGGTCAGCTCCTCGCTAGGTAGCTCCCCCCTTCGCCCCTTAGAGGAAAGTTCCTTACCTGAGGCTGGGCCATCTCAGCCTGAGGAGCYCGAAGCTCGGGAGGAGGGACCTCCTACCTCTAGGGAGAAGGTCCCATCTTCCTCTCGAGGTCGGGATCCGGATGACTTCGGTCCTTCTATCATGCCCTCGGATAAGCTACTGTCTTAGGTAGCTCGCTACTGTCGCCCTGATAGTTTAGTTCCGGATGACTTCGGTCCTTCTATCATGTCCTCGGATAAGCTACTGTCTTAGGTAGCTCGCTACTGTCTCCCTGATAGTTTAGTTTTTAGTGTTCCCTAGGTCAGTACCCTTGGGCTCATGGATCACCATGAGCTCGCAGTTTTTGAAGAGCAGCTCGTAGCCGGGCTACGTTTCCCGCTCCATCCCTTCATCATAAAAATAGTCAAGTTTTTCAACATCACTATCRACCAACTTCATCCGAACTCGATCCGGACTATAGTAGGTACCATTTCCTTGTTCCACAAATATGACCGACCTTTGTCCTTAGACGTCTTTAGCTTGATCTGTTCGATTAGAAAGAACTCCGCTTGTCTGCACGGGGACGTCCGACAGAGTTACTATATCTCTCCTCGACCCGGGTTTAAAATCCTATTCGGTAGCCCGAACAAAGTGCCGACCTGGAAGAGAAAGATCCTGGGGTGAGCTTAGATGCGGAGACTAGGGCAGTTATAAACTCTTGGAGGGACCTCRACCTAGAGATGAAAGATTTTTTGGCCGAGGAGAAGCTTGTGCGAGTTGGACTGAGCCCTTCTGGTAGGTCTTCACCTTGATACTTACTTACTTTAAGTCTTTCTTAATTCGTGACTAACCTTTCCTTTTTCTCTTGCAGCGGCCATGACAGAGGTTGACGCTGAGAACATGCTCAAGAGCTTCCAAAGAGGAGGGAAGAAGAGGAAGGCTTCGAAGAAGTCTCGTCGGGAGGCTGGTCCTTTTGTCCTCGCTCCATCCGAGGTTCTTGAGGCGGAGCCAATCTCCGCCTAGCTCCCAGAGGAGGAGGTCCATCCTCAACCTCCCGTCGTGGACCTCAAAGAGGATCAGGACAAAGGCATTCTGCCTCATGAACCAGAGAGCACTTCGGCACCCGAGCCTGAGCTCCCAAAGGAAAGTATAATGACCCCTCGGCTCGGGCTGCTCAAGAGCAAGGATGTCATTTTTCCCGCTGAGGTCACAGAGTGGGCTAACATGCCCATGAGTCAGCTCGGAGGCCGGGCTACCAGCTATTGCATGGTGGTAAGTACTTGACTTTACATTATGTTTCCTTGTTAGCCTTTTAAATATACTTACCTCTATTTTCTTTACTAGGTGAACTCCACCATTCATTCATTGGTCTACCAGTCTGAGGTTCACCTGAAGAAAGCTCGGGAAACTGAGGAGAAGACACAAAAACTTTACCGCAAACTGGACATAGCTCG